ACGACAGAAACCAGTACAGACGTAACCTTTTACCCAGGATGCTAATATAGCATGCTAATACAAAGCAGGTAATTTTTTTTATAATCAGTTGGCTCAATTGTGACAATTTGCAATCAGTGACAGCTGGACTTGGATCCCTGAAGGGTTAGATTGAGAGACAGAGATAGAGTTGTGCGGGCATTTTAAATATTCTACAGCAAGCATCTGAGCTTTGTTTTCTATCTACTCATTCAGGACTTCAGTCCTTTGGCATGAAGGAGTCAGCCTGGGTCAATAAAGTCTTCACATCGATCAATGTGCTCGTGCTCTTGTTCGTTATCATCTCTGGCTTTGTCAAAGGAGACGCATACAACTGGAAGATTACCGAAGACTCCCTTATAAATGTCACCATAGCTACAAGGTAATTTATTTATTTGCAGAGGCAATCTTTGTACCATTCCAGCCGGACTTTATTCAGACGATGCACTCAATGATCATCACGGATGGACCATGGTGGGGTATTCCAACCCATTTATTCACAACTTACCATAGACACATTGTAAGAGCTGTAATCATAACATAAAACAAAATAAACATTCACTTGATATAACCACGTTTCTGTTATGCTAATTAATTCACAGAAAAGGCACAGGAGGTGCTAGCATCAGTCTGCTAGATCACTCATAAACTTATTAACAATCAAGTAATATATTTACAAATTGTCCAAAATGTAAACAACAAGTACAACACACAATCATACCTGTTCGCCTTCCAGCTAGATGCTAATTTAAAGATGGATGGAAAACGATAACTTTCTCATTAACCTTTTCTGCGGCAAGCAGTAACAGTACAATCTTCCTTCCCGGAAGTTACCCGTTCCGAATTTCAAAATAAGAGTCTAATCTATATTATAAGGTATAATTCGTTCAGGGATTTAATTGTTTGAAAAATATCAATAAGATGAATAATCTGGGTCATTTACAATCCTAGATGGGGCAAAGACGCCTACCCTTTAATACATCAGTTAATATGAAACAACGTGCAGAGCATTGTAAGCAGCATTGCTTCCAGTCATGAGTGTACATGTTACAGGAACCTGTCCGTGACGGCCAATGTGAGCAGCGATTATGGCATTGGAGGATTCATGCCCTATGGTTTCAGTGGGACCTTAGCAGGAGCTGCCACCTGCTTTTATGCTTTTGTTGGCTTTGACTGCATTGCAACAACAGGTGAGTTACGGTCGGGTTGAGTTTTAATGTGAGTTTTACGAAAGCAGAGCTTCATGTTTTCATGCGTCTGTGTCTGATAGGTGAGGAGGTCAAAAACCCTCAGAGGGCCATTCCCACTGGCATCGTGGTGTCACTGACCGTGTGCTTCTTGGCATACTTTGGCGTGTCAGCTGCCCTCACGCTGATGATGCCCTACTACCTACTGGAC